ACAAAAGACGTTGTGGACAAACGGAAATGGTGCGTGCAGCAGTCCCCTGAGCGTTACACAGAGGAAGGAACTGCTAACGTGTGTGTACATGAGAGAGAGTTGCAAAATATGCAAAGGGGCACTCGCACCTACTATGACAGTGTAGCAAGATGCTCTGTCCATCTGCAATCATCTACACCAACCTACACACTCCCTTTCTCACTTTCAAGATATAGCGTGACGTTGAAATACATCTGACCTTTGCAGAACCCCCCCCCCCCCCCCCAAATAACTCTTCCATTTCAAACACATTGCTGCAAATGGAATTTTTCAAAAAGGATTTTAAGGAGAATTCATGAACTGCTGATTGATCCCCACCGTGACATATTATATTTGGCACGACCATCAGGGTCTGCACTCTTTTTCTCTGAAAAAAGAAGCAGCAGAAAAGGCGTGAAGAAAAAGACCTTTAGGTAAATCAGTGCTAATGTATGATGCACTTTAGGCAGAACGAGAAGAGACGAATGACTTAAAGAACAGAAAATATGAAAACAAGGGGAAGAAGAGGGAGAACAAGATACACAAGATGAAGAAAGAGGAGGAAGGAGGAGATTCCCAGGAGCTCAGGTGGCTCAGCCAGGGGCAGAACAGTGGGAGATGGCAGAGGAGCTGCACATGATGCAACATCCTCTGTTACAGTGTCATGACAGCGAGGAGAGCTGCAGCCTGACACCCACCACTCTGACCATTTCATACTGTAGTGCAGCACAACAGCCATCGACTTATAAAGACTGAAACATGCTCCGGAGATGGTTTTTAGAGAACGAGTTTCAGTCTCTGTTGTCCAGGGTGTAGTGGATGACAGAGGGAGAAACATGTTTACCTGGCCATTCCACCTCAGAGACTGTCAATCGGGGAGATGGGAAGGAGCTCTGGAGCTCAGTTTCTCAGCCCTCGGGGAACCTCAGCGCCCTCTGAACGCTCCTGACGCCTATCCTTTCCACACAATTAGCCTGTGCGTCACTAACTCACGCAGGTCTGCTAATGGCAACGGCTAGCTAATGAGCTAGACTCAGGAGGGGGAGGGGGGGCAGTTGTTAAATGAAGAGGAGGTCGGTTGAGAAAAAAAAAAAAAAAAAGAGAAAATAAAACAAAACAAAAAACAGAGTCAGTAATTAGCAACCTGCCTTCCTGTCTTCCCTCACCTGCTTTGTGGTGCTCCGCCTTCACGGCGGGCTCCTCCCCCCAGGCTCTGTCCCTAGCCTCCCCCCTCCTCAGCTCGATAAAGCCCGGCCCCAGCTCGGCGTTGGTGACACGCTGCTGTGCTCGGTTGGCAGGTGAGGGGGGTGTGGCGTTGGCGTTTGGGGCTTGGCTTCGGGAGCGGCAGCCGCCCTGTTTGTGCTGGATGAACGCCAGGATGTGGGCGAGGGGGAAGGCCCGGCTGCACTGGCCGCAGGTCAGTAGGTCACGACCCTCGTCAGGAGCTCGGACCTGAGGAAGAGGAGGAGGAGGAGGAGGCTGGTCTTCTGATGAAGTGGTTCCATCCACCATGTCAGTGACATCTGAGAAACATGACAAGGAAAGATCAGTTACTTGACCTGCCTTGTAGACGTTTTGGACTTAGATTTACCAGAAAAACATGACCAAAAGCATGAGGTCATCAGTTAACACAGACAGATACACAAGTACAGTTCATTACACAGTGATTTAAACTCTGCCCCTTAATATTGAACACAGAAGAACAAAGAAGAATGTTTTTCAATAAAGATGCAACGATTAGTTGGTTAACCAGTTAGTCCATCTACAGAAAAGTAATCTTTTAAGTAATTTTTCAAGCAAAAATTCACAAGGTTTATTTATTATTTGATTTTCTTAGTCTCCTATTAGGGTAAGGTGAATATTTTGGGGGCTAGTATTAGGATTTGAATATGTTGCCTTGGACTCTGGGATCTTGCGACAGGCATTTTTCATACTTTTCTGACAATTTATAGACCAAAAACGACAAAACAGGGGGAGAAAATGTGTAAATCACTTCAAAATTATCGAATAATCGTGGGCAGCACCCCTGGTTAAAGAACTTTTTCATGAGAGGTACAATCCCTGTTGTCTTTCTGTAGTCATCTTTTCCATGGAGCGCAGATAGTTGACAGTGTCTTTGAAAACAGTAGGTTGGTTTCTCTATAGCATTTTTACCTGCAGCCATAAATATCTTCAGGAGGTAGATCTCCCTTTTACACAAACCTTTAGCCATATCTCCAAAATATACAGAGAGAGAGAAATCAATACTAAACCTGAGTATTCTTGACATTAAACATCCCACTTTCTCCCGAAATACCAAAATGTGCTTATCCACACTTCCTCTAGCAAGGCTCCCAGTTAATTTGGATTTCTGCTGAGGAGTTTTTGACCGCCCTCTTACATATTAACAACCCAAAGTGGCACAAGTTAAGTTCAAGTAAAAGTACAAACAGGCATGCTGATTGAAAGTGCTAGTTTCAGTTGTAAGCGCTCAATCTGCTCAGCCAATACTGACCACTTCCTTTTCACCAAAACTAAAACAGATCTGCTCGCTATGACTGAGGCTGCTGGGTGCAGAGGGAGCGGGGATGCAAACGGTCCATCTGAGCGGGAACATCAACTCCCCAATTAATGTGACAAAAACTATGAGCTGACAGTTGAAAGCATTGATTTTAAAAGGCGACATTATGACCAAGGCTTTCACCTCTCACTCACAATAACAACGTGCCCTACCAGCCACAGGCTGCGGGAGTTTCTCAACAGGAAGTGGATTGCAATAAAAGAAGAAAAAAAATGACTGAAGGTGTTTGAGATAAGAGCAGCCCAGCTGTGTGCGTTTCTGTGCTCACAAACAGGGCAGCTCATCTGAGTCAACCTGACAAATCTTCTGTGGTTAGCAAACACTTTCAAATGCATGCAGTGTGCAGACAGGAGCCCTGAGGTGTGTTGTTGAAGCAGTGGACACAACTTTAACCAAGCCTCTTTTGTTAAAAACTTCTCCCAGGTGGAGCTCTGAGGGGAGGAGGGTCAGTAGACTATTGCTCAACATGGTCATGGGCACACCTTGATGCCTCGACTGGATCCACCTGCCCGGGCTAGGCCGGCTAACATGCATACAGGACAGGTACAGACAGTACAGTGTGAAGTCGGATCTCGCCAGTTGTTTCTGAAAAATGTCACCTTTCCTGTTTCAGAGCTGCGCTGTTTGTGCAGGCTTGCAAGGCGCGGTCTCACACACACACACACACATACAGAAAGAGAGAGGGAGAGACAGGGTTGAGTCAGGGCCTGTGGTCACACCAGACACGCACCACTGGTCTCCAGTAGAGAACTGTAAAAAACAAATGGTGTTTAAGTTTCTGTCTTATTTCCTTTCAAACATCACATGCTTCTTTTTGAGCTGCTGTTGTTTGAACTATCTGAACAGGATCTATTCGACGTTTGTGTTGAGACCATTATTTAATTTCCCACATATTAAAAAAATCAAGTAGCCTAAGTCATAATGTGCAGCAGGGTAGACGCGGCGTCTTGGGTTTAAACGGGAGATGTGGAGGCAAATTTTCCCAGACAAGCCAGAGAACAACCTAGAAACTTGATCATCGTCTCACCTGGAAATATTAATCATCGTGTTCGGACCTGTAGCCTCTGAGAACAGCCTGCCAATAAACCGGTCCTTCCTCTATCAACACAACTGCAGCAACCGTATACTACACATCAGGACAAACATTACAAGAAAACCATAATCCCTAATTTAAATATTTGCCCATGAAGTCCGTATAAGGGATTAAAAATACATCCATACTGGCACGATTGAGGTCGACGTGCACATTAGAAATAGGCTACTTTAAATATTCGTGGTTAGTGTCACATGGATTTTTTTTACACGCTTTAAAATTAAAGTAACATGTTCATCCATCATTTCATTAATCAGGTGCCAGCGCGCATCCAAAGCATGCGCGGATAACTCACAATGAAACAAAACTGTGACCTTAATTCACATTAGTTTTCCCTTAAAAAACAAACAACATCACATCCGTCTCCAGCAGTTTCAACATGCCCACACATCGCAGCTCCCTCCGGCTTACCTTGAATTGCACTCAGGTGCTGCGGTCTGCTTCCAAGTTTGCGCCTAGACATTGCGTCGAGCGTTTGGCACCTTTCTGGGTCCCAAACAGCAACACAACCCCTCCAAAACCAAAATCCGTCCAAGCTGCTCCTTCTCCGATAACTTGACCGAAACCCGGGCGGCGGGGACAGACTGATAAGACTGGCTATCCTCTGCCTGGACTTGCACTGAGCAGTGAAGGCAGCGTTCAAGTTCACGCTTCCCCGCAGCGGGCGGAGGGCAAAAGGGGGCATGGGCGACTGTAGGCGCCGCCCGCCCCGCTCCGCTCCTACGACCCTGACCCCGCCTTCTCCGGGTAACACACTCAGTGGGCCCACATGCTTTTCTGTCACTTTAAAGCCTTTTCTTTTACACGTCGTCTTTCTGGTTATTACCAAGCTTTCGCTGTCACTTTCAATCATGGTTTTGACAGACGATAGTGGAACAGAACATTTAGTTCCTCCTCTGCAGCTCCGAGGAACTACACTAACTGGTTGGTTTTCCACAGGTGTCTCCAAAAACCAACATGAAAACCACAGGAACATTCATTTCTCCTTTTCTTGTTGACCAGCTGTGACAAGCCATAAAAATATACAAAAATATATATTTTTTAAAATGCTGTGAAGCATCTTAAACTGCAAGTAGGGATTTGTCGCCACCTCCTGATAAAAATAAAGTGCAACTCAGTGGCAGACTTCAGTGAGTCACGGGAAATAAAGTGTCTCCATAAGACCACATATATCCTACTGATTTAGGTGCCATTTTTGTGATCAACATTTGATTAAATATTTAGGCTAATGTATTCAGACGAAATGCAAAACAGCTCCCGTGAAGGAACCTGAATATCTGTATTACATCATGTAGCTAGACAGGAAAAAAAACAACTACAAAATCAACATACTTTCAAAGTCAGTTTTATTTTTTGTTCTGTATTTCACATTCCACATTACTGGGAACAAAAACAAGTTATTTGCTGCTGTTAACTGGTTGGCAGAGGACAGTATAAAAAAAGAGAGTGGTCAATATATTTAATTCATTCATTAACTTTGCATCTGCTTTGATAAAGACATTTTTAAGTGATGTGTATAAACATCCTGTACATCAGCTCATGAAAGTAGTTTAAGATGGTCTTGACTGTAAGCGTTTCTTGTTAGAGAAAAGTAAATGGCTGATGGGGAGCAAAAGGACACGAGGAAGATGTAAGGTAAAAGGTGAGATATTGCTTAGTATTGTGTATTTTGAAATGCAAACTGACATCTCCGGACAAGTCCACATTGAGAAGAACTGTTCAGCCAGAAATAAAAGGAGCATGCAGAAGAAACCAGAAACTCATTTAATAAACCTGCATTCTCTTTACAAGATGAAACAGAAAGGAAAAGACAGATCAAACATGAACCAATAGGTTATGTAATTACTGAAACTAAGGTGTCACAGTCAAAATAGTATATTTTGTAGACACAGAGTACCAGAAAACATGGTGTTCAGGTATAGATTTGGGAGCCAGAGGATAGTCAGTCCATCTCTTCAAATTCCCATGTTGCCTGCATGTTGGACAGTATGTGTGCCAATGACAAAGTCCTGTGCTGAAGGTTCTGTAAGATGTTTTCCACAGCTCAGTACCGGTAGTGTGGACTCCGTGATCGAGATCGAGACCGAGACCTCCTGGGGGAAAAAATTACAAAAGGAGTCAGTATCAAGATGGGAGCAGTGTAATCTGACAAACATAAATGTGAAAAATTGTCTCTTTCTTGTCTTAAAGGCCTGGACACCAACTAACAACAACTGAACAGAAAAGCCGGTTTGTGCTCCGGTTTTCACACACGTTAATAATGTAAACGAGACTTCTGTAACATCATTACTCTGTGCATTAAATGGGTCAGTTTAGGAGCAACAGCACCTTCAAATCCTGCGTTTCATAATTTGGTGGTTGGCCAACACTTGTGTTTATATTTGAATAAGAGATTGTGCTTTTAATGATACTTAAGATTAACACAGATTTACTGGTTGGTCTAAAGAACATACATCCATATTCTTACCAAAATGTCTGTTAATCTTTCTTTTTTGTATTATTTTAATTGTCTGATTTTTTTTTGCCTCCTGAAATGTTTTTATCCTTGTTCCACCATGTAAAGCATTTGTTATCAGAATTTTTTTAATTCTCAAATATAGTCATCGATCCAGTCGGAGTTGAAACATTTCTAAACTTCTGTGAAAAGTTTGAAGTATTTAGTTTTAGTTACTTAGAAACTTGTTCTGGATTATTTTTGTTCTTTGGTCTCTCAAGACACTGATTTGATTGAGTGAAGAAGAAAAAAACAACAACACATTGTTAAAGTATTACATATGAGAGCACTGTGAAGAGACTTTGAGATGGTGTTTGTGCATTAGTGTGAACAAATCCCACAATTCATTCTGCTTCATCGGAGCTGTGCTGATTCCTGTGGCTTCTCACATACCTTCTGTAGTTGTGTTCTCGGCCTGAGGGACAAAAGACACAGACACACGATCAAAACAATAGCGAGCCAGAACATATTAAAACCTATGAACCTGGCGCCAGCAAATCAGACAGAGGCTCAGCTGAAATGATGGTTTTTTTATTATTATTTTTTATTTATTTACTTCTGTAGAGTATACAAGACGTGCACACACGAAACACTACATGTTCATTAAACCAAATTATTATCATCATATTATCAAAAGTCTTACCATATTTGGAAGGAGAAGGCGAGTGGCTCTGTCGGCCGTACTGTCTTTCCCATTCATCCCTCTCTTTCTCACGTCTCTCACGCTCCCTAAATGCAGAGCCTCTGGGTCAGACAACTGCAACACACAAATACCAAACCGTCCACTTGCACACACACAGATTCTTACTTCATGCGTATCTTGCGTGCCATGGCTCGTAGTTCTCCCTCTCGCTCCTGTAAAACAAACAGCCATGAGGGGAGATGCAGGATAAGAGAGTCTGTGCCTACAATTCAAGTACATACACAAACACACACCTGTCTTTTGTTTTCCTGCTGCTGGATCTTCACCTGAGCGGCTTTTTTATCTGCCTTGGCTGCAGGTCGGGAAAACCCACAGGAAATTGAGGGAACAAAAAAACAAAACCACTGATCAGATTTTGCATCCTTTGTAATTTGAATAACGTGACAAAATGTTATGTGAAAAACATTTTCACGACTCGGACGCCTGCGCTGTTTCTTAACTTGTGCACAAACCGTAAACACCTTACTCTCCGCTAAGTTGTACTCACACTGCTTGTTAAGCGCCTTCTGCATTCGTAGCTTCAGACGCTCCTGTGGGGTCATCTTGGGCTGTAGGTGACACAACTGTGTTAGCACATCCTTTCACAGCCCGACAAAAGTGTGTGTGCTGTAATACAATTTTGGTAAAATGACTTATGTACAGTAGCTGGTGGAGATAAAAAAAAACAACCAAAAAGACACAGATAAATGAATTATTTGTGATGTTTGTTCAGCCCACAAACACAGCGGACGCTGAACAAGCTGTGTGTGTGTGTGTGTGTGTGGACAGTGGCATTAACATTAGGATAATTTAGAAGCAGGACAGCAACCATTCACATGGACCTTTAAGCAATATATTTATATGTACGAACGCTGGACGGCAGGAGGAGGAGAGAGGGTCGGAAAGTGACACAAAGACAAGTTCAGGTCCAGTGAGTTCCGAAAGCTTGGAAAGAGCCGGTGGCATTTTGTCAGTGGCACACCCATCATTGGGCTGCTTAAACCTGGCCAGGCAAGAAAAACTGCCGGTCACAACACTGCAGGCAAGTGTAACAGAGAAGCAGATTGGAACTTCCACTCTACTTGTCTGTTTGACTGTTGAGAGTATATTCAAATCTTTTCTTCTTTGCCAGAAAATGCAGTGAGAAGAGAAGCTGATGGACAGCAAACGGTTAAAACAAAAAGTTTTACATCTGGGGGGAAAGAACGTTCATTTACCCTTTTGTACAGAGATGAGAAGATCTCAGGCCTATACACTAAATGTGAAGCTACCATGAGTAGCCGGTTAACTGGCTCAGACCAAACTCTGTCCAAAGTTAAGAACATCCGCCAACTAGCAATTGTAAAGCTCACTAATAAGCACGAATCTGGTTTGTTTAATCTAGAAATAAGCTGGCACACAACCCACCATAAACAGTGATTTGTATTTTTTCCCCACTTTCTGAATGGATTAAACAAACAAGATACAACATGCTTTATGTGTGCTGTTAGGTAGATTTTTACCTTTGGACAGAGCAAGGTTAGCTGCCTCCACCCAGTCTCAGTCTCTGCAGTGAGCTAAGCTAACAGACTCCTCCCAGCAGCTTCATATTTCATGTACAGACATGAGAGTTGTATTGATCTCCTCAGACAGGAAATAAGTGCATTTCCGAAAATGTTGAACTGTTCCTTTAACCCTTATCTCAAGTCTTAAATCGGTATGTGGGACAAAGCATGTCACTTTAAGAGTAAGAGCATGCATTCTAGTGCATGTTCAAACAAGCCCAAAAACGACTGTCCGGAGTACACACATCTCATTTTTCATCAAAGATTAATTGTCTTCTGTCACTTAGGGTCATTGATGTGATATGATGTTGTGTATTTGAGACTACAAACAGATAAAACCAACTCTCTCACCAACATGTATATGTATACATGCATGTACAACCCGGACTAAAAGCACAATCAAGACAATGATGACTTCACAGGGTGCCTAAATGTTCATCACTCCATACAGAGATGGCAGTCATTTTTTCAGTGTTGGCAAGTTCACATTCTTCTCAGCAAAATACTGAGTAGGTGAAGAATACTGTAATAGCAAATTCAAAACAGATGAAGGGTTTTGACTGCAGAGCATGTCCACTTTGTGGGGGGAAAAAGAAAAAAAAAGAAAAATCACATCATCATTTTATTTTCTGTGGGCAACAATGGCTTCTACATCCCAGTCTGGTGGACAACCATGTCAGCCTGTCAGGGATGAGGGAGGCGTAGGCTTTAGCAAGAAACCCAGCTAGATCAAATTCTTACTGACTTTGGCAGCTCCCGTCTCTTTACCACCCGGAGTATCAGGCCTGGAGAGAGGAAGACAAAAAGACTGGGGTGATGAAGACATCTAAAAACAACAACAAAAAACATTGCTTCCTCATCAGGTTAATTAACAAACACTTATTGTTAGATCAGCTGCTTGATGGCTGAGTTGTAGCACAAAGTTAAGGACTACAGACTACACGACTTTCAGCGTCAGCTGATGGCCGTGCCGTTCACACTACATAACTTGCCATCTTGTGATGGGAGTCTTGAAGTCGTTGTGGCATTCTGATAGGTGACAGGGGGTCTCACACTACACGAGCTGACAGCGACTGTGTCACCCGACACTGGTCTCCGAACCACGTTTTGTCAAGAACACACGTGAAATGTGTAGCTGCCTGCTCTGCCAGCTGCCTGCTCTCATTGGCTGGATGTGGATGTCGAGTTGGCCGACTCCTCCAGATATTTGGATGTGTCAGAAATGTGTCGGGAAGCCGTTTTGAAGCGCCAGTCGTTATGTGTGAACTACTCACGGCGAGCTCGCCAAGCGGCAAATTGGGCTAAAAATCATGTAGTGTGAACTAGGCTTAAGTGATTCTAATCTAACACATCTTTCCATTTTTTGTAAACAGTCCTGGCTCTGTAAATGGCAAACAAAGCGACCCACACCCGCCACACAACTCTATTCCAGCCGTTGTGCGTCAAATATCGTTGAATAACTTTGCCCACGGACATTCAGTTTACTTGTGCGTTGGTGTCTGCTTTGCTCTGCAATTATACTGCCAAAACACTAGTTGCCAGTGGGGTTTCTATAATCACAGTTCTTGCTGTATGCATCGCTGCGACAAGTAGTCATATTTTTGGGGAGATAATGTCGGGCTACAGCGTAGGATACGCAGCTACATGTAGGCTATGGTGTAAATTTGATGCATAAGTATACATCAGCTTTAGACCATCTTTTAGGCAATTATGATCAGTGCATCCCCAGCTGCTGCCTCATTCAGGAGTTGAAGATACTTCTTTGCTACAGTGTTTACATGGTCTTCTTACTTTCTTAGCTTGTCAGCGACGGTGGTGGTAGAGGGCTGGGCTCCTCTGTGAGCAGGGGAGGGACTGTGATTACCGCGACTGGGGGACTGAGAGGGACTGTGACTGTCGCTGTCCCCCCGCCGGTGGCCTCCACTGCTCCGAGCCCCTCGTCTTGAACTGCCCCCGTGCCGTGAGCTGGAACGGGACCTGACAGAAAACGCAAAGTGAGCTTAGGTCACTGCGATGTGTGTTGGAAATCAATGCAAAAGCACCGATTAGAGTCAACAGAAAGCCTTACCTCGTTCGTTTGCGTGCCGAGTACCGTCTCCTGTCCCGCTCCCTGTCTCGGTCTCGCTCCCTGTCTCGGTCGTTGGACCGCGATCGCGTCCGGTCACGTCTCCTCCAGGATCCGGCCCGCCCGTTCCCCCCTCTACCCCGAGAGTAAGACCTGGAACGCCTTCTCGACCGCGATCGCCGCCCATCCCTTTCCCCGCGTCCACGCCGGGTGCGACGTGAACGGGAAGAAGAGCGAGAGGAGGACCGAGATGAGGAATGTGAGGATGAGGAAGGGGAGCGACTGGAGGATGACCTTCGTCTCCTGGACAAACAGAGACAAACTGTTTTAGTAACAACACCAGCCCAGCACCTAGCCTATGTTCAGAATACTTCTGTTTTCTTGTTTTTAAGAAATGTTACTGTCACTTCGCATTGAGGTATGAATAATGAAATATTAAAATTGCATTTACTTGCTAGGAACTGCATTGCAACAACCTGACATGCACAATCAAATAGTAGTAAATGTGTGTCACTGCTTAAAACTATCCATTCATACACATCTTCTATACGCACATGCAGGGTGGAAATGGTCCATTTGTTATACAACAGCAATTCTTTGCACTGACATTCGCTTGATTAAAAACCTCACCTACCACAAAAATCAGCTGTGATCATTTCAACAGACAACAAATCGACTGTAAGAGGAAAATAACCAATGAAAAGCCAGGAAGATGGAAAGTTACCGACCGGGAGCCCCTGCTATGACCTGCAGGGTGCTGCAAGTTGGAGGGGGCGTTGCCAGAGTGAGGAGCGGGTGTTTGTGTTGCCGCTGCAGCTTCATCATCGCTGCCTCCGAAGCTGGTGATGAAGGTGATCTTCTCTGGGCCGGGAGAACGAGAGCGTGACCGAGACTCAGAGCTCGACTCCGACTCAGGCCTGAGATAGATCAGAAAATAACGTTCAAAAACACGGACACACAAAAACATTTGTCAGGGACAAAATTAGTCAACTTACCGTTTATAGGGATCGTACGTTGGGCTGTCTCTCCTGGCATAGCTGAAATACAGGAGGACGAGGACATACTTAAACATGTTTTGAGGTAAGCAGACTGTTAATGAGGAAAAACCCTTTAAAAAGGACAACATGAATTTACCTTGGGGGGCTGATCTGTCTACCTTTTAGTCTCTTCTCTCTGAACTCTCTCCTTTGTCTGCGAGAACGCCGGCCCTGAGACGATCAAACATGTCATTTAAAAGTCGCATATACTAATCACACAACACACACAAATTCTTCAGTGGAAGTCATCTTACAGAGTACATGGCCTTCTCTGCCTCCAGGGCCTTGGCATGTTTGATGGCCTCCACTTCCTCCTTGTCTTTCCTCAACATCCTGATGAACAGGTATTACGTTAACAGTGTTAAACTACAAACACAAACATCATGTTGACAGTGTAAAATGTTTACTATATTTCCTATTTAATATATAAGCATGAAAAGCCAAAAATGATTCAAGTCCTAAAAACACACGACAAGGCAAACAGCTGATTTTGGATGAAATATTCCTTCATTCCTAAGGACATAGCTAGTTTAAGTTCATTCCTCCCACCTCGCAAAACAATGTAAACATGAAACCACATCCAGGAGCATGCTCAGTGACATTACACTACTTGCCAGAATTAAAAAAAAATTGGCTGCCCTGTTCACGTTCATTGCAATGAAGGAATAAGTTCAATGTCATAGAGGCATGAGCTCAATAAGGTTGTGTCTACAGGGATAATACTAGATGAGACAATTGTTGGTTTTTGTGTACTAGGGCATTTAATAAAAAAGATAAAATAAAACCAAGTGTTTTTTGTAGTTCAAAGTCTAACCAACTCCACCAATGCTTCAAGACTTTTTAAATCAGGTCACTGAATTTCCATTTGTAAACTGAGAAAGAGAATCTCAAATCTCAGCCAATAGCTCCGGTATTGTTGCTTTGCTCTACATTTGACTTTTGAGACATGATGATATAATCATTGCGAAGTTACCTAACAAAGTCTCCTTCACCCATTCCATACGGGGTTGCCATTTTGTTTAGGTCCAACACCTGTTCCTGGTTCAGCTCATCGACATCGACCTCCACATCTGCACTCACATGCAGAGACAAAACGACGCAAAGCTTTATTAAAACACAGCAACATGTCAAAGCAGATTTTACCCTCATACCCCTGTAGGACAAACATTTGCAGTGACGGATCACTGCAATCTGGTCTGAAAATATGTATTTTCAGACCAGATTCTCAGGTCACAGCGGTTAAGTATGTGTTATTTTTTACAAACAAGCAAAAAAAGCACAAACCGGGAATAAAGAAGTACATCATCGAGTTATCAAACTTGATTGAATAATTACATCAATGTATATTAAGTCAGGTGTGTTTCTGTCAGTGTTCTGAAAGCTGTTGTTTCTACTCTGCATCCTGTTTCTGAAGCTGCTTAACGTCACAACTTTTCTTTTTTTTTTGTCTCTGGAGTTTTAATTTTCCTGATGCGTGAATCTCATTACTGACAGACCCATTTCCTCACCGATATCTGGGATGCCCTCATCCTCTTCGGATTCACTGTTCTCTGAATTGTCTTCATCTTTGTCTGACTGGGGGTCGGGCTCTGTCACAGTGCTGTCTTCATAGGTGTAACCAATGGTGGCCTTTTTTTCAGCCAGTCTGAACAATAGGAGGAAGGATTCATAAATACACAGCCATAAGTTGGCTCCAAATAAACTACTGGTTTTAAGCACAGCAGGGATATAACAGTTAAATGACATACTTTTTCTTCTCGTCCTCATTTGGTTTCGGCAGGCCACCGTAGAGCTCGTCCAGGTAGATCTGGTATAAACACTGCTCCTCTGAGACTATAGGAAGACAGCAGGGAGTTTAACAGTACAACACAACTGCAAAATATACTCACTGAGGGCAGGTTATAAGACTATTATAGTCCCATTAAGAACATGTGCAGCACTGTGCATGTGTGAAATATATTAACAATGGCTTAACTATATTGCATTACTGACTGTAGCTTCTGAAAGTCAAATGAAATTCAACCATTTTCTCAGAGAACATCAGCTATGAAGTTTGTGATACTCACTGTTGGCAAAGTCATTCTGCACTAGGCCTCTGTAGCGCTCATAATTGCACTTCCTCTCCTCCATCTCCTGCTCTGGGGTGCTGAGACAAAGAGTAGAAGCGTTATTTACCCCTTCACTGAATAGTCCCATATCTCCACACTGAGCATTTTTGGCATCTAACTGAGGCTGAAATGTCTGACGTGTAGAAGAAGAAATTGAAAAATCTCAGTGACCTGTTAAATGATAGGTAACAGTTATTTTAACCTATAGTAACAACCAGAATAACCAGTGTTTTGAGAGTTAAAACATTCAGAAAAAAGTTCTGAAAATGTTTTGTCAGTTAGGAAATTCAGCCCTAATGGTGTTTCAAACAAAGCTTTTTACAACGAAAACTTCACATCATGAATTTATTTTACCTACTAAAACTAGGCAAATGTTTTTGTATATTATGAAACACAGTTTATTTACACTTCATTAAACATTTGATGCACTTCAGATATCAAAATGGCTGAATGTGTTTTTTCGTCTGTGACGGTTCTGAATCATTCAGGTCATAGTTTTCCATGGAAAGTTAAAATCAAGGGCGAATGGACTTGGTTAAAGACACTCAAAGACGTTTTGCCTCTCATCAGAGGCATCTCTTCAGTTCTGACTGACAGGCAGGGAGTCTCAACCAGCTCACAATTTGGCCTGATGCAAGAATGCCAACAACACTCGTTGAGACTTGGCCTCGGGCTTCTCTAACGACCATAACGACAGTCATCACAAAAGCCAGGAGCACTAACAAACCAAGCAGTATCGATCATCTTGACAACAACCCCACAGAGTTTAATTAGCTGGGATTCCCTGCAAGTCAGTCAGAACTGAAGAAGCCTCTCAGATGTAGCCTACAGTGTAGGTCACAAGTTTGTCAGTGGATAAATGCTGCAGCTAAAGCTCCTGTGTGTGTTGTTTACTAGCTGCTGGCAGTTTCACATGCCACCATCTGCCTATGTTGAGGGAGTATACTACAATATATCACCTCAATGCAGCATCTCATTATTAATTTATTAGAAAGAGGAGAGTCTCTTTTATTGAAAGTCATAGCATCTGGATTTCTAAATACCCTGGTATGCCATAATACCTTGATATTAGCGCTCTATATAAGCCAAGCATGTTTATTTTGTTGACTGTAGCAAGATGAAATAAACAAATTTGTAAAACAAACAAAAAAGAAACCTCTCTGCTTAACGCAATCTCTTTTTAGACATACTTTTCCCTTTAAGGTATGGTACTTTGTTGTATCCATGATTTTTAGTCAAGTGCCTCAAATATCAAGATGTAAAACAATCTGCAAAGAACACATGAATGCACCACAATGCCCCGCAATTGCGTACAATCAAAAGTTAATAAATTAAATATAAAGACAGTCAAAATAGATAGATTTTTTGGTAAAACATGGCGTAATATTGCTTTAAGACTTACGATGTGTTGAGCAGTGGAGGTGTGTACGTGGGGATGTAGTCCAGGTGAGCCCTGACATCAAACCTGTCAATCATGTTGTTAGCATCTCCTTGCCATGGCATCCTTTTGACAAAACAGAAAGAGTTATAATCTGATCCGAAAGATTTCCAAAAGCTCTGTGCCCCTGGTGTGTCTGATGTGGTGCATTTCCTCACATGTTGATGGGGCTCTCTGCAGCCAGTGCCACAGCAGGATCCAGGTGGATCTTGTAGGCTCGGCCATGAACCTGCAGAAACTGTGCTGGATCTTTTTTCTGTCGAGAAAAAGTAAGAAGCATTCTATAGACAAAAAAATGGCAACATAAAACTAACCAAATACTGAAAGATGTTCTGTACTGTGCAGCTGTTGAACTCATAAGTTTCATCATGCATGTGGTGCCTTTACAGTGTCTTGTGAATTTGGCTAACAAACCTTTTCTTCGTTGTTCAAACTACTGCGGCAAATCTAAGAGTTATATACATCTTGTCAGCTTAAGTCTAAATTAGACTCCATATAGAAAACTTTAATACAACACAACTGGCAGAAACAGAAAGCTAACAGCAGGTAAAGTTGTCTACGAGCATCAGCTAACTTAAAGCTTAACCGCCAACTGAGCAGGAAAAATGAGATCTGAAGCACACGGTTATAAGACCTTTTAAGAAGGTGCAGAAACTAAGGTTTTCACATAAAGTGAGTTCTCATCAGAGAAAGAAGAGGCAATGGTTGTGTAGATAATTAACAGCCAATGCCGAACAAATATCTGTCTCTAACATTTGGAAATCTGGAAATAACTGTCCTCACTACATTTTCAGCGTAGCCTGAGAAATTGATCTATTGGGATGTTTTTCATAAGTGATTATGAAATTATTATTAAGAGTGATTATTGTACGATACATTTACTCATTTGGCAGACGCTTTTATCCAAAGCGACTTACATTTGAGGAACAACATGTAAGCATCAATAAAGCATCAATACAGTAAGAGATCTACAAGTGACAATATACACTACAAAGAGCACCAATCAATGGGGTAAATACCTAGGGAAAGAAGTTAGAGTTAAGGAATAGTTCAATCAATACTAGAGAATTCTCCGCACCGAGGAGCAGGTTTTTGCAGATTGGTTTTCAGAGTCACATATGGAAATCATGAGGAAATCAAAAACATTAATGTGTCATTTATTCATCTCAGTTGAGGTCAGCAGTAAAATCCTTGGGAGGAAAAGTATTGTGCTGTAAATTATCCATCAGGAGAAAGCTGACAGCACTTTGGATTTGCTGCCACAGACAAACACCGCAGCAGAAATGTTATTCAAGTATCTCTGCATACATTTCTGAAAGATGACAAAGTTTCTTACTATCTTCTCATAGTACTCTCGCCGGCGCTCTCCTCGGCGTTTGTAATCTACCATCATGCCACGGAGCTTGCGCTCATGTTTGCGGGCCTCCTGCCACATGACGGCTCCGCTGGGGGTGGGGGCGCGGCGGGGCACGGCTGCTGTAGAGAGGAACCAAGAAACATGGAGTGAGGAGACAAAGAGAGAGCATACAAGAATGTGAAGAAATTTATAACTGAGATGAAAAGGGAAGATGCGTGTAGTGAAAGAGAGAGACTTAAAAAATAATAATAATAATATTTGACTGGGAAAAGCTGCACAGACGTAGCTCTTCTGAGAGATTACTGTACATAACGGCAAATCGGGCTAAAAATCCCTGCTAACTGCGTGTCCTAATCCATTCTTCAAGACTTCAAGACTTCCGTCACAAGACGGCAAGTTGTGTAGCGGCCATTGGCCGACGCTGAAAATCGTGTAGTCTGCACGAGCCTTTAAACACATGTGCAGTAAGTGCATGGGCAGAGTGGTGCCAGTAGACAAGCAGGTAGGTAGGTCAGCCTATTTGGCACCTGGTAGAACAGTCTGAGCCTGTCAGTATAAAAGCACTTTTTGCCGACGTAATTTAGGCATAATTGTCCCGAAGGACTATGTTACAGCCAGTTCACGGCTGCCAGCTGAAGCTGAACCTACTGCACAGATTCCAAAATGTTTTGTACCAATTGGTCATTTTGACACCAAAATATCTGAAAATATGGCGCAGATTTTAAAATACCAAATTATTGTTTAGTGTTTGCTGGTCAGAGATCATCACAAGTAATTTTATGCAAGTCCAAGTCAAGTCTCAAGTCTCTTTTAGGGATAATAAGTGTTGATTCGCTATGCATCAGTTAGAAATAGCCTCTGAGCTATTATTGAGGCAAAAACACAGGAGCAGACCATTGCTGAATGAAAAAGCCTATATAAAGAGGGAGACAGTGTGATAACTGTAACGACAGTTTTATCCACCCATATTTGCTCTCTCCCTATGCTTCGCAAACATGAATAACAGTTTCCTGAATAACAGCTTGGTAGCTTACGGAGTGAAAGCCAAGATCAGTTTCACCACACAATGACTCCACCGTCGTGCATTGCTATAAAACTAATAACCACTGTGAATTACAGAAACGAAATAGGCTAATTTCCATCAAAAGAAAGCCATGCTCTGCACAACAACAGGATATCAGAATCAATCCAGTGATCACCTGACTTAGATGTTTATACAGTACATAGCCTGTATTTGTTCAGCATAGACCTAATACACTTTAATATAACATTTATGGAAAGTGAAAGTATTTCTTCCAGCTTGAGAAAGGGTGATGCAGTTACTGGATTTGAGTTACATTAGCAGAACAACCAAACCTAAATTAAAAAAAAAAAATTTCTGCAGCTGCCCAGCTCATAAACATCTGGCACAAGGGGGTTAAAGCTCTCCTGGGTAACTGTGGGGGCCACACAGCTTGGATGCAGAGTTTACTTAGGAAATGTAATAGGTTACCGATTACAAGTTACCCTATTTAAAATGTAATAGGTGTGTAACTATTTCAATTACTTTAAAGGTAATGTAATTACATTAAATTTTGATTACTTTTCTAAATTACTAATGAATGTTTCCAACTGTTAACCATAATCAAAGCAGCTTGAGAGGCAATTTAACTGGCAGAGGGGCTGCACTGAAAATTCAAACATGAGAGCCAATCAAAAGCATCAAACTTTACTAAATGGCTGTGGTTGGAAATGGACATTGTGCACATGAAAAACTTACAGAGCAACAAAATTAATATTATACAACATACAGCCTAGCTTTTTACAGAATATATTCAGATCTAACCCCCAAAGTAATCATGAACATTTTCAAAAGTAACTGTAATTTAATTACGCATTTTTCCCACAGTAAAAATTATTTTGTAATTAAGTTACTCCATAACAGTGATAACAGACTAGTTGTATTGCGTTTAGAAAATGTTTAGTTATTTTCATATAATATTCTTTTTTGATCTAAGTATAAATAAATTTGTGGTTTTAATTCACTTACTTGTCCTAGCTATTTCAAGCTTCTCCTGATTTTAACAAATACTGTTGGGTGTTGCAGAGGCAACTCACATTCAAGCCAACAAACTAAACAGAATAAAAGTCAATACATGTTTACATGTCATTGCAAATACTTTGTGTTTTATACGTTATATTTCCACTTAATTTCTCAGACAGGATTTATTATTACAGCCACAATTTGGACTATACGGCCAGTACATTAACTGTAACTACTGTGGCACAACCACGTTATTGTGAGCGAATTTATCACCTTCCCTTTTTATCAGAAACACTATTTGTTTGTTTAGTGAGCTAACGTTAGATCAAATAGATTCAGGTAATAATACGGCGGCCAAAGGGCTAACCAGCTAAATATCTAACTTTACGGTTGTCAAGCTCGTGACACCGCTGCGCAGTTGATCAATTGTAAACTTCATTTAATTCTATCATTTGAGCAACCCTGCTTTCGTCTTTAGGCCGGAAAGAATGTGAAACAACAATGTTTTCAAAGTTATCGATGAGCTTGTTAGCATACACAACGGCCTGTCTGCATGCAGCCGGGCCTATGCTGCTGTTAGCCAGTTAGCATCACAGCTAGCCTAGCTTAGTTTAGCTCGTCTGCAAATACGTTAGGAACAACGCGTGTACCACAGCCTCACTAACATCAAAATGACGTGAAATACAGCAGCACAACACATTCAGCATTGTTTAAAATTTTACAGTGTACCTGTTTTTCTGAACGCTAACACACACTCGGGTTGTTTCGCTCAGCCGAAGACGATGTTAGCGGTGTGCTGTTGTATGTCACACGCCTCCTTTCCAAACGGCTGTAGTTCATCGGTGCAGTACCGAGCGCAGCCTGTAGGGGCGCTGCACGACTTTATAGCGATGATGTACACTGAAAACGGCATGCGTGAAGAAGCTGTTGTCCTCATCCATTAGTGCTTGATTTGATGCTTTTATAAATGTTACAACTTGAAGAGTGTAAAATTATATATATTTTCGTGTTAAGAGAATATGGCATTAGTTTAATACAACACCTGGAAAATGTTTCACTTATAATAATACTATAATAATAATCTTAATTTAGAGAGCACTTTTCAAAACCATGTTACAAAGTGCTTTTACAAGAGCAAAGACAAAACAGATAACAAGATACACGGTTTAAGCAGGAAACACTTAAATACATCAAAATACAGTTAAAAGAAAAATAAATATAATAATAATAAATAGTAGTCCTCAAAAATGCAAATACAACTCCATTATTACAATTCAAGTTCTCTTTATTAGTATCATCGTCTCACAACATCTTCCCGTCATTTCTACATTTAACAGACACAAAATAAGGCACATCTTGCATAAAGCTGAATAGACTAAGTAACTAACTACTTGATCAGATAATTAATGAGCAACAATTTTGATAATCAATTTGTTTTCATTCTTTTTTGCAATAATGTTGAACATTCTCTATTTCCAGATTGTTAATGAAATTTTTTGGTGTTAAGTGATAATAACTTGAATGTTGAGCTAAATAAAATTTCCTTTTACTACTTACTTTACTGTGTTTTGTGGAAAAAGCGACTATGCATAATTTTATTCCATCAGCAACACTTTTACTTAAATAATATAAAAGGGTTTGTTTAAAAAAAAAAGATTGTTTAAAATAAGAAGTCCCACATTATGCAAATTCTTAAGTCAGGTAGACTAGGTAATGGAACAATATCAGGGCCGGAATTTATCAAGCTTCTCAAAGTGCCATTTTAGTCTTAAGTGCTGAGAATTCATGAAATTTACTCCTACTTTTAAACTTATGAATAAAAGCAAGTTATAAAATTTCTCAAAGCTAAGAATCACTCTTACTCTCCCAGTTATTTAAGACAGCTGGAGAGGTCTCTCAAGTGGTTAGGAGCTGCCAGTAGGGCTTGTGATGGCACTGTGGAGACAGAAACATGCACAAATCTTTCAGAAGAGGAAGAATGTTTCTGTATTATTTGACGATGCGCAGTTAATAAGACGGGGTCAGACAGCGCAGGCGTAATCTTTGTCAGTGAGTTGGTGAGGGACGTCATCTCACCACTGACTTTACACAGTAAAGTATAATGTAAAAAATTAATATGGTATTTCTGTGTGGGGAATTGGGGGGCCTCCCCCAAGAAAATTATGTTTTCCAATAAAGAAATACACAATTCCACATAAGTTTGGAACATTGTTATTACCACATCTGTGAATAAGTAGGAAAATCTAGAGCAGATTTGGAATAAACTACACCCCAAAAGCTAAACTTGCTAAATAAGTCTACTGGGGTTGAATTATAACCGTTAGATCTGGGAAAATTTATTTGGTTAGTTTTGATGCTCTCTACAATGATTTTACATTCATTGCGCAGCAAAGCACTGTTATGGAGTAACTTAAGTAGTTTTGAGCCTCACCACCTTATAATGGCAGGAAAACACATGACCTCAGAATCATTACAGATAGGACTGTTCATGTTTGCCTTTTGTGTCTTAATTTACTGCTTTATACATTTGTAGAAATTAACATAAATAATAGGCAACATGAGAACCACCTCCTTTCTGTAGCTATTATTACAAGCATTTAATTTGTACATTAAAATCCAAAAGAATCTCATATAGCTTAAAAGGACTAACTTTAGTTTGCATCCCTAATTTGCTTTACCTTACTAACCTCAGATCCTCTGTGGTCAACACAGTCCTTTCTTTTTAATTTAATTTAACTATCAAGATGTACAGCAGAGGACAGAGCTGTAACGTGGCAACTTTGTGGATCTTTTGGTCTGCTAACTTTCACCGTCACTTTCTGCCACTCTCTCTCACATTCGCTCATCCTTTGAAGAACGACAGAAAGAACTACACCACCACGGGAGGAAAAAACATTCACGAGCGCTGCGGGGCCATTTGAATGAGCATTACAGGTAGTGTTATATGGACGTTGGAAAATAAATACCCGTTTAAAATGATTTAAGACCTAGAACACAAACTTCAGCGAATTTAAATTTTAGACTTTTAATGACCCCGCCGAAACCCTGCTGGACGTCTACCTGACAGGTGCTGTTATCAGAGCAGCTCCTTTAATCTGGAGGTCTCAGTGTGTTTGATTGTCCGAGTGACAGAAAGTGACAGTTAGGAAAATATTCTGGCTCTACAAGTACGGTGTTGGTGTGTCAGGTAATAACAGGGTATATTCAGGAATCCTGCAATAAAACCTAACACACACCTTTATAAGGGACATTTTTGAGGTTTTAAAAGGAATTTAAGTATATTTATAACATATTTATTGCCTATATGTCATCAGGTTGTAACACCACCTAAAAACTGAGGCATTCACCAACTTTCTCAGTTGCCTATAACAGCCTTTATGGGCCAACAGTTTTCTATGTGAAGGACTGGTCAGATTTCCTGCGAAAAGCAACTGTCTTACATAAGCTATGACGTTTATGTACGCAACATTAGAGCAAATCACATGAAACACAGTGTAATTTTGTGTTTTAGTTGGTTTAAACTAGATAATGTGAGCTTGCCTGCAATATGTGTGATAACTTTCACCGTCCACTTGATCAATACAGCAAAATTCAAATAGGCCAGGAGAGAACAAAGATGAAGAGAATAAACTGAGTGATGAATAACGTAAGTAGTGTAGGCGGTGTAGCACAGGTACAACCTGGAGGAGGAACTAGTCTAAATGACTGTATTAGTATAACATTAAATTGAAAGTATATTGTTAATTTAATAGTAAACTAAAAGTTTGATATTAATATATTCATTATGTTACTATATTCAATATAATTTCATATAATAGTATATAACTTACCACTAGTACGCTATAATATTAATTCAAATTACAGCTGCTTCAGTTTGGGGTTGTTTTTTATTCATTAACTTTGTGCAAGAAAAATGCTCTAGGCTACATGATAGTCTCCAACCTTGATTTTGGGCAGGCTACTAACTCGTCAATAATCATAACTGTTTATGCAGAACACTGAGTTCAACATGTATAAAGTTTGTTGTAGCACATCAAGCTTTTTTTAAAATCCCGCTCAGCAGGGGTTGCAGCCAATTCTGTGGTCTGGTCGCTGCCCACTGGTCTCTGCCACACGGACCACTGGTCGCTACCACAGTCTCTGAGGGATGGCTCCTTCCTGTTCCTTGTTACACAAACTGTGGCTGTACACATTAAAAAAGGTCAGTTTCAAGGTTTTATACAGTCTATGGTTCCAAAGTAGGCCTAAAGTGACCTTACAACAGTACAATTTTTTTTTGTCTAATAGAGAGGAATGAATCAAAGCAATTAGATGTGTTGAGGAATTTTCTACCGTATCAGGCTTAAGAATGAACTTGAACAAATCTGTTTATTAGGCTACCACTTAAGGAATGTGATCTATCAGAAGTTAATGGTATCCCTGTGAAGAACCCAGTTACATACCTGGGTGTGATAAGAATGAAAAACTCTGCAAGAACCTAAACTTCAGCCCTATGATTAAACAAATAATGAAAAAGGTTCAACAAGTTATCAAACTTTTATAAACAAGCTTGTGGGGCAGCAAGGCAGCGACCAGTGGTCTGTGTGGCAGAGACCAGTGGTCGGTGTGGCAGCGACCACTATCTTTAGCGACCCTAGTGGTAGCGACCAGTGGTCTGTGTGGCAGAGACCAGTGGTCTGTGTGGCAGAGACCAGTGGTCGGTGTGGCAGCGACCACTATCTTTAGCGACCCTAGTGGTAGCGACCAGTGGTCGGTGTGGCAGCGACCACTATCTTTAGCGACCCTAGTGGTAGCGACCAGTGGTCGGTGTGGCAGAGACCAGTGGTCGGTGTGGCAGCGACCACTATCTTTAGCGCCCCTAGTGGTAGCGACCAGTGGTCGGTGTGGCAGAGACCAGTGGTCTGTGTGGCAGAGACCAGTGGTCGGTGTGGCAGCGACCACTATCTTTAGCGACCCTAGTGGTAGCGACCAGTGGTCGGTGTGGCAGAGACCAGTGGTCGGTATGGCAGAGACCAGTGGTCGGTGTGGCAGCGACCACTATCTTTAGCGCCCCTAGTGGTAGCGACCAGTGGTCTGTGTGGCAGAGACCAGTGGTCTGTGTGGCAGCGACCACTATCTTTAGCGACCCTAGTGGTAGCGACCAGTGGTCGGTGTGGCAGCGACCACTATCTTTAGCGACCCTAGTGGTAGCGACCAGTGGTCGGTGTGGCAGAGACCACTATCTTTAGCGCCCCTAGTGGTAGCGACCAGTGGTCGGTGTGGCAGAGACCAGTGGTCGGTGTGGCAGCGACCACTATCTTTATCCTCTCAAAAAGTGACACTGACGAGAGCATCGGCTTTATGAAAAGTTGAATTTGTTTCAATAAAAAGCAGAGATTTAGCTAAGTAGCCGGCTAACGTTAGCCAAACCCACACGCTCCTTGAATTTTCCCTTTTGTCTTCTGTCTTACTGATTCCGCTGCTGGCAGCACATCTCGCTCGTTTTTCAGGAACGGGGCTGTTCAAAGTGGCCACAGAGCGACCGGCCAACCGAGTTAATCCCGTTACTACTGATCGCCACTCCGATGATTAACATTGCGGGTCCGGCGAGGTGGGAGATTACGGTCGGTTGTATTCGTAAATCATTTTCAGGTCCACACAGATCTATTTTTTGGAGCATTTAAGAGTGAAATAGGCGCTCGGTAGATCCCTGCGCCTAACGTTACAGAAAGGAATCACAGTTGCTACTCACTGCCTGTCTAGTATTTTTGGCTATGCTTTATAAATAAATACGTTCACCTACACTTTTAGCAAACAAACTTTTGGACAAACAGGATTTTCACATTGAAAAAAATTTAATACCTTGTTAAATGGCGATTAATACTTTTTAATGACCTTAACTTTGGC